AGGATCTCACTATGTTGCCCACTGTAGTCCAGATCATCTGAACTGAAATGATCCTCCTGCCTCAGCCTCCTCAATAACACAGGCTATAGATACAACAGTGTTAGACTTAGTTATTTCTTTTGTTGTTTTATTTTTTTTTTAAGGCTTTAAAATTGTAATACTATGTACAGAGAATTAACATGGCCTCTTTCACTGAGTGGATATCCTGGATAATTCATGGAGGGACGATCACTTAGTCCAACCTGATAAAGACTATATCCTTCCCTTTCCAATGGAAACACTGGCAGCTCATGTGGAGGCGGTATTTTTGGATCAGACCCTGCTGGTCTGGGCAGGAGCTGCTAGGTGGAAAGCCTGGTCAGATTTCCCCGGGAGTCTCCCATAGAGCTGTTGGAGACTCACGTTGCTTCCAGAGGTCCAAGGAGGAAAAGGACATATTTCTTTTTAACACTTAAAAGCAGTTTAGCTAAAGCTTTCCTTACCCTTCCTTCCTGTTCTGAGCTCTACGTGTCATTTTAGGCTGGATCATAAAAATATGCTATATGCCCACAAACACAGCCATAAACAAAGATTTTAAGAACTTACAATAGTAACATTCTCCTTGGCCTCACTTTTACAGTGTACTTTTTCTACTCATAGTGCTTTAGATTTACTCATGTAGCTATGGACTTCCAGCTCTTGCCCTTGAACCACTATAAGGTACTCTGCTCTTCCAATACGCAACTTCTCTAACGCTCTCATTAGAGCAGTGTGGAGCTCCAGGTCTCTTTTTTTCCTTTTATAAACATAGATGATTGTGACTTTTTATGTGTGTCAGTACCAGTCTGTTCTGTCCTTGCTCCTGTGGGCAGGGGGAGACTCCAGGGTGGTGCTTGTGGCCGGAGCTACATGCTCTGGTGCAAGGCCAAGTGTGAGCCCAGGACAGGGCTGAGAACTTGCCAGATCCAGGGCCTGCCAGCACAGCTGTCTTCTAGTTCATTCCACACCTCACCATGGGCTTCCATGGTGTGGAATAAAAGTCCCATTTTATTAATAATTAAGAAACCCAGGGCTGGTGAGATGGCTCAGTGGTCTAAAGCACCTACTTAGAACAAGCTTAGCAAAGCACAAGGATTGCGGTTCAATCCCCCAGCACCACATGCCAGCCAGCCCTGCCCTCTGGTGGGCTGAGCTGGCCACACACACATAAATAAATAAATAAATAAATAAATAAATAAATAAAATTAAAAAAAAAAGAAAGAAAGAAAAGAAACCCAGCCTTTAAGTGGTCTAGAGTTGCTAAAATGGTAAGGAGCTGCTGCAACGGTGAATTCTGGGCTCTGTGCTGTGAGTGGGCACCATGTTGCCCTCAAGCAGCAGAGTGTCTGGCTGGAGGCGCAGGGCGGGGTCGCAGGTATGAGTCCCACAGGCAGCTCCCACCTGTCTAATGCATGTGCACTGACCTGTGGAGCAGGCGTTGTTCTGCTCCCACAGAACAGCTGAGAGCAGCATGGAGCCCCAGGTCCCAGCCACCCAGCCAGCAATGGGGACTCAGAGGTCAAGCCCAGCCAGCTGAGGGGCCAGCTATGACCTCCTATGGAAGAACAGGCCTAGGCAGGGACAGCCATGTCCCTCTGTACATGAAATGGTGGGGTCTGCAGGCTGTAGGTCACACAACATGGAGCCCAGAGGTTAAAGAAGCCAAGGGACCCTGCCAAGGTGGAGTGGGCTATGCAAGGGAGGACCTGAGCCAGCCTGGGTGGGCTGCAGTGGAAACTGGTAGCTCTGTGGCACTGGAAGTCAGGCCTAGACCAGCTCCAGGCCTCAGGCTTTCCTCATCCACTCTTACCTCCAACCAGGCTGTGGAGTCCCTGCTGTCCAACCTGTGCTGACTGGTCTGGCGAGGATCGTCAATGGTGAGGATGCTGTCCCTGGCTCCTGGCCCTGGCAGGTGTCTCTGCAGGTGAGATAGAGATCCAGGGCATGCGGAAGGTACCCTGGGATCTTGGCCAAGCTGGGATGCTTTCCAGGTAGCAGTTGTGACCTTCCCTTCCTCCCTTTCTAGGACAAAACTGGCTTCCACTTCTGTGGGGGCTCCCTCATCAGCCCAGACTGGGTGGTCACTGCTGCACACTGTGGAGTCAAGTGAGTGAGCAGCCTGGGCTCTACTCTCAGCTCCGGGTGTGGGGGATATGAGGGGCTGGGCATCGTAGGGCAGGCCTTTTCCCAACCTCTCCTGTATCCATGCTTAGGACATCTGATGTGGTGGTGGCTGGAGAGTTTGACCAGGGCTCTGATGAGGAGAATGTGCAGGTCTTGAGCATCGCAAAGGTATCTGGCCCAAGAACAAGAGCTGGACCCCCAGAAACACGTGTCCTGGATATGCCAGGTCTTCACTGAGGTTATAATTGTTCCCTCAGGTTTTCAAGAACCCCAAGTTCAGCATGCTCACTGTACGCAATGACATCACCCTGCTGAAGCTGGCCAAACCTGCCCAATTCTCCAAGACTGTGTCCGCTGTGTGCCTTCCCAGTGCTAGTGATGACTTCCCCGCTGGGTCCCTGTGTGTCACCACTGGCTGGGGCAAGACCAAGTACAATGGTGAGTGTGATGCAGCCTTTCAACAGTGAGAGCTGTCCCTGGGCTTGTCAGCCAAATGGCTGTTTTTTTTTTTTTTTTAATTAAAAATCTGGGGCTGGGGAGATAGCTCAGTGGACTAAGTGCCTGCCTGGCAAGCACAAGCACCTAGGTTCAATCCCTGGTACCACATGCCATGCTGGCCCTGCCCTGGGTGCAACGAGCCAGCCACCAACACTGGGCAGCACTAAAGACTGAAACAGGAAGATCACTAAGTCCAAGCTGCACAGGGAGACCCTATAACAAATACATACAAAACAAAACAAAAATAAATACATAAAATTAAAAATCTATAAAATAACTAGGCATAGTAATACATACCTATAATCCCAATATTCAGGAGGATGAGACAGAATTTTGCTACAAGTTCAAAGCAGCCTTGGTGACATAGTGAGTTCAAGGCCAGCCTAAAATACAGAGCAAGAAACCTATTTCAAACATTTAAAATAATATATTACATGCCAACCAAGAACAAAGGAAAACATTTTAAAATCTACCATACACAAATAAACTGAGGGCTAACGGAGGTATATTTGACAGAAAGCCCTGCCTGCAGCCCCCCGGGGGCACCTTTGGCAGAGACATCTCTCCAGGCTAGGACAGATGAGGGCTGGGCTGGGAGAGGGACTTTGAACCCACCTCTCCTTTCCACATAGCCGCCAAGACCCCTGACAAGCTGCAGCAGGCAGTCCTGCCCCTTGTGTCCACTGCTGACTGCAAGAAGTACTGGGGCAGCAAGATTACTGATGTGATGATCTGCGCCGGGGCCAATGGCATCTCCTCCTGCATGGTATGGTCCTGGGGAGCCGGGAGGGACACAGGGACCCTGCACACAGGCCTCGGCTCTCCCCTGCCCTCCTCTACTTAGAAAGCCCTGCTGGTGCTAGCAGTCGCCCCAAGGCCAGTCCTCTAGTCAGGCCTCTGCTGTGCTGCCCACGGAGCTCAGTCCTCACTGCAGCCCCGGGAGCACAGGTGCCAGCCTACAGCAGAGGTGACAGCCGGGCTGAGACAGGAGAAGCCACCTGCGCAGGGTTCTTGGGAGTAAAAGGTGGAGGTGGACTGCATGGCACCCAAATGAAGTCACTTAAGCAGAGCCACTGTGCTCACTCTTGTCACCCCTCCAGCTTCTGCCAGCCCAGGCACTCTGGACCATGGCACCCTTCAGGCTTCCAGTGGTCCTCTGTCTTTCTCCCTACAGGGTGACTCTGGCGGCCCCCTCGTTTGCCAGAAGGATGGAGCCTGGACCTTGGCAGGCATCGTGTCCTGGGGCAGCAGCACTTGCTCCACCTCCACTCCCGCTGTGTATGCTCGCGTCACTGCACTCATGCCCTGGGTTCAGCAGACTCTGGCAGCCAACTGAGCATATTTCCTTGCCCCTCCTTCTACAGTGATCCCCAATAAAGTCCCCTGTTCAGAAACACTGGCTGCATGTGTCTCACTGAGTGACATATGGAGATGTGGGACTATAGTTGTCAATGTCACCCACCAAGGGTGGCATTACACTTCCCCTACCACACTGTAAGGCTCCTCTCAGACAGCTGAGGTCCTTCTGTGTCCTCCCCATGCAGAGTCCAGATCTGTACTGCTGCAGCCAGCTTGAGACCAGAAGTTCTCTAGAAGGCAGGAGGCCCTGCCCAGGCTCCAGTCAGTATCCCTGAAGGGTCTTCCTAAATTGTCCAGGGTGGCCTCAAACATTTGGTCGTCCTTCCAAATAGCTAGTATTACAGGCAAGTGCCATCACACATGGCTATCTTCACTCATTTTAATTTTCAAAAACATGCATTTATCTATGTCCATTTGTATTTTAAACCCTGAAGATATTTCATTGACTTCAAGTTCTTATTGCTTTTATTAGGGTTTTTGTAGTTTTCACTTGGGTTCTTTTAATTCTGTCATCTTTCCTTTTTAGCAGTCATACTTTGACATTTGGTTTCCCTTGTTCTTATCTTACCTGGAATTCTTTTTTTAAATTTAATTTAATTTAATTT